TTAGAAATGTTCTTGATTAAAACACATTTCCCTAATTTGAAATTTTTGTTAGAAGTACATATCTTAACTATTCTTTGATCCTTGAAGGCGTTGGCGAAGAGATCGCATGAAATTTTTAGAATAATTATTTCTTCACACAGAATAAAAAAATGTTAATTAGTTAACTCCAAGTTTTTACAGAGTTTGCCTAAGTAGATCAGAGTCTAAGATTCATTCAAGATATAAAGTTCATTTAAAGTCATACCTTTCTTCTGTCGACTGACATTAAATACTGTCTTCTTACGCGTGGAACTCAACTTTTACTTCTCTCTGATTACCTACCATTTGTTTTGAGACAAATTTCAGGAATTGAAAAGATTTTATAATGTACTGGCACGTTCCTAAAGCTATAAATGTTCAGATTAGTATTTCAAAGTTATACTACGAATTCAAATAGGCATTTTAAGTCAGAGTCGAGTTTTTGTAGTTTTTTTTTCTACGTGTAACTGGATGTGAGAGATTTTTCCTTGGAAAGTCCCTTGGAAGACATCAGTCTTTCAAGCAGATAGCTCTTTCGTGTTTTTTCCTTAATCTAATAACTAAGCAATATCTGTTATAGTTAATTAATCATAAGCAAGCAGGCGAACGGTTAATTTTTATAGGACTCATTTTTACTGTCTGTTCAAAGCTATATCAGTCAAGTTTTGATAGTTATACGAACATATGAACATTTCAGAAAATTAGTTTCTAATACCTTCAACAGCTTAAAACATTTTAACCTTTATGAAAGGTCTGGTATAGAGGTGATAATTTCTAAAGGAATCAATAATTTAATGCTTTGTTCCACCGTATTTTAAGTAAAGGTAGGAAATTCTTATTCTAAATAATTTAGTTTTCATAAACAGGGAAACTGAGGTTGAGTTAATAATGCCCTTTATAGTTTATACTATGATAAAATAAATGAAGCTGCATTCATATTAAAACAGAATGACATATTAAAAAAAGCATATATATTCTATACAAAATTCAAGATGAAATTCAGAACGTTCCTTTTTTAAATTAAAAACTATTTAGATATTAAAAATAAAGAAACTTAATTTTATGGCGTTACTACAATTATATGTTAAAGAACAAATATAATAGCATCAATATAATACACTTGGTGATATTTCCTACAATATTAATTCTGCTTTTTCGGATTGAACGTGCATTTAATTTGCGCAACAATATTTTATTTCTAGACGTAGAAGGGCACATTTATAACACGTAAGACTGTAACTGTAACTACATTCCTAGGTTGTTTTTCCCCCTTACATTTAATGTTTTCAGCAAAAATACTTATTTTTTAATGTTCTATGTGATTTTCCTTTTCTCCAGATTATAAATCTCTACTTTGAATTACAAGATAAGAGGACACTGCTTACAATTAACTGCTTTACTACATCCCTCTTCTACAGTTTTCCACAATCTAGCCAATTTTTAGTCTACATTTTTAAAAAGCGCTAATTTGCTTTTATTATTCTAGAAGGACTATAGAACTCTGGTTAAATATCAAGAGCTTTCGCATGAATAAAGAAAGATATAGATCTGATTCCTTTTTGAGGAGGGCATTCTTTTCTCAAAACATTTAGTTATGATTTCTAATGTCGTGGTTAGAAGTTTTATTGTGATCGAGTAGTTTTCATTAAGGGTTCTGGGGATAAAGAAACTCTTTTTCAGAATTTGGAATCTATAAAACATTACTTAGATAACTCTCATAGTAGATTTTAACTTTTTTTTTCCTATTGTTAACTTTTATTTTGTTTTGCACGAGAAATCAACAGAAATAAAAAACTCTTTCTAAAACTGTAGAGACATTAGATATTTTTTTGAAACAAGTGACATACTTGTGACATACTTGTGACAATTAATGTTAAAAATTCACTTATTTTCGCCAGCAAAAACGTTCGTTTTTCAAATTATCAGTTTACACTTTACGTTTAACGGAAAGTTTACAACTTTTTTAGAAGTTCTATTGTTTATAATAATGCCTTCGATTAAGATGCACAATAAAAAAATGAAATCGATTTGTATAAAGCGTGTCTTAAAAATTTCTTAAAAATAGTGTCTTAAAAATAGTCTTAACTTTCCGAAAACGTAAAGTTTACTACTTTTTTTAGTAGTTATATTGCTTTCGTTTAAGATGCACAGTAAAAAAATTAAATCGATTTGTATAAAGCGTGTCTTTAAAACGTTTTCATGATGTATATGAAATAAATTTTTGACATATTTCTGTGTTAAAAAAGATATAAAATAAATTATCAACTTAATAACAAATGTCGGTTTTTGCTGTTTAAATTGCAATTAACCTTTATAACTCAGCATTACAAAACTTAAAAAACGAAAAAAGAACTTTTCTTTGCGCTCAGGTGGATTCACTTTCTATATCTGATCTTCTTCCTTTAAACAAGGCCCACGGTTGAACGAGAGCAATGATATGGTAGAAAGACCTTTGTTTCGCTTAGTTTAGCTTTTTCACAAATCAGTGATTTATAATTGATAAAACGCGATGATTTTTTTCAGCGGTGCTTTCAAATTGTTGAGTCAAATAGTTCAGGTATTTATTGCGATCGCTAACCAGCTTCAGATTTTGAGTATCTATTCTTTTATTTTTACCTATTTTTAACTACACAATTAAACGTCACTATTGTCAAAAACAGGAATTGCTTGGCTTACACGCTTTTCGAAAAGACGCACGATCCGACGAAAGTGGAGGATTCGCAACATTTATTATAATCTCATAATACTATATGTATATGATTTTCCTAACCAAACATTACATCAGCATTTTCAAGTTATTTTCATGCACGAATTTCTTTAGAGTTGCAAACCCTAGTTTAGCATTTTAACACCCTAGAATTTCGACAGCTTTTGGTTATTGATAATTTAAATTCACGTTGTTGACGAATAATGCTTGTGATAATGTTAATATTAATTTTATATTTCTCATACAACTAAAAAAAATTAGTTAGTTTTCAAGGTTTCCTAATTTCAAAATCTATACAAAACTATCGAACAAAATTATCTTAAAAAATTCACTAGTTATTCCCGTCTGTATTATATTTAAAAGGAGAAAATATATAGATTTTCTTGCAAATTCTGCACTGAAAACGAATGAAACAGCGATCCTGTGACTTCAAAAATATATGGAATTAACCACATTGTCTTTGAAAAGTACTGAAAAATATGCATTACGTTTGAAATATATTTAAAATTCACGTGAGTATTTAAGCGTCACAACACCAAAATTACACTTCCATATATTTATTACACATATGTGTATATAGATTATACGATTATATAGAAATTCATTATGCGCTTACATTTCTATTCTAATTCCACATTTTCTATTAGGCAAACTTTCTCCCTTATTATCATTTTGCGAAGATGTTCGCACACAAAAAAAAGTAACAAACTGTTGTAATAATACATAGTACACGGTTATTTTATAGTGATGAATATCACCTTAACATAAAATACGTCTAAGGAAATTAAATTTGACAGAATTATAAAATTTCCTTTAAAATTTGGTAAAAAATAAAACAATCTTTTGTTTTTAACTGGTGAAATTAAACCTCGTGTAGCACCAAAACCAACTAAAACAATTCAATGTATTTCGAGACAAAAAACAGCTGTCTTATCTCTTTAAGAGTAAATAAATTCTATTGAAGAACCGCTATTTTGTTTCTTTGTTTATATCGGGACTTTTCATTTGATATCAAACAAACAAAGAGTGAATATTTGTTGACTAAATGACTGGCGTGTAGCACGCACTTACTAACATTTCTAGGAAATTAATACTGTTTTATTTAGTATATTTATCAATTTACAATAAAAATTTAGCATTCCAATTTTGCTCGAAAATATAGTACAAATCTGAGGCTATCGAGTATGATATTTTCCACAGTAAAAAACAAACCTCTGTGATAAATGAGTGTTCAATAATTTTAGATATGAAAATCCTTATAGGAGTTAATATATGCAACAAAATACAATGATTGTATCATCATCAACTCCATCCTCATCAAACTCAAAACAGTAAATTTTCGTATTTTTCATGCATTACAAAATGTGTTACATCATATTAGCTCACAGCAAGTTAAAATGAGAATCAAAATGCAACGTTTTATGTACAGGATTTGAGAGGGAACTGTCGCAGGAGATCAACGGTAAATCTACACCCACTATTTAGCAGTTTTAGAAAGCATTGTTAAACACCAATTTTCATAAGATAAAAATCAATATAGCTTGGTCGTAAATAAATAGTTAAAAAAAATATCCAGAGTTTTACTCATATATCATTTTAATTAAGTAACTCGCATTATAGGAATCAAGTATTTCTATTCCGCGCTATGTGCATAAATAATTTTTATGAAAAATTAAATAAATTAGGTGATTTTTAAGACTCGCACCGTAAAAAGAATATTTGCTCTTCGCCTGAAGCCTAGAAATTACATACTGCTTCATTCCTCTATCATAGACATTTAATCAATTTGTAAATATATTTCTGACAAATTCCAAAGTGTTGTGCAAACATCAGTTGAACAATACTAAAACAGATTCCATTTTCGATTGATTATAGAAATTTCATTTCATTTATTTAAATTATTCTTATATCACTGAAGTTTACATCTTCTAATAAAATTTCTTGAACCAATTAAAATTATCACAAAAATGGGGGGAAATGATATTTTATTCGAAAGGAATCACAACGGCATTTTATAAATTTTATTATTAATTTTAGACCCCAAAATTGTTTTTAGATTATTTTTTAGCTAATATTAACAAAGTACAAAATAAAACAAATAATTAAAAAAATGTACAAATGAAAGCAAATAATATTGAATCATAACATTGATTCAATATTATTTGTTTGGAATTGTCTATAGTCATTAACGTATAAAAAATTGTGTGATATATTAAATTAAAAGTATAGAAATTGAAGTGGAAATAAAGCAAAGAATATGTTTCGTTTCACATACCGCTAAGGAATACAGACATTAGCTTCATTAAAATCAGCATAATTTAGTCAGCGGAGTTACCGAATGCCGAAGCTGAATCCGATCGAATAAGAAGATGAGTTTCTTTACGGTTTGCCTTGGGACTGAATGAATGAAGAAGCTTGGATGTCAGTGGCCGATTCGACAGAGACCTATTTCTGCACTAGCCCGCGGCGCTCAGCTACTTTAAAGTAGGTGACGGGAAAACTTCAAAACCGCCTTCTTACAGGTCGGTTCCCTCTCAGTCCCAAGCCTGAAGCACTTCGGTATTTTCGATGCTCTAATCATTAATGGCATTTTTTACTCTGCCTTCATTTGATTTAATTAACCCTGATATTATACAAGACGCCCTCTGGTAGAGTATCTTTTCAGAGCGAGGAATTTATGCAGATATGCATTTTCAGATGCACTGATGACGATCTCAGAGTACGTGTCAAACTACAGAATAAAGTAATCACATTTCAAATACTTTTGCATGGTTACTCACCTTCTGAAACTTTACACTTGAATTTATTGATTGAACAAGCACTATAAAACCATCTTTGGATGTTACCTTAAAAAAAGCAGAAATTAAATATTAAACTTTTATTTAAACCTGCCACTGACCAAGAGAATGAGATTCCCTAAACACTGGTATTTCGACGTGGATTTCACTCTTGTCGAAGGCGATGAATTTATGAGTATTTTCGACGTTTTCCGCATGCGTTACAAATAAGAGCCAATTTCCTTTAGAAAGTACTCAACGAGGTGGAGATGAGCATTACTAAGGCATCACTTTATGCTGACAGGCCTAGAGTCCTTTGCCTTACGAATGTGCACATATTTCTTTGAAACCATCTTTAGAAATCAAATCTCATTCGGTGTCAATATTTTGCAATAAGATTTATTCAAAATAATTTTAGGACACGTGCTCAGCATAGACTCGTTTCTCAACATTTAACTGTTTCAAGTATTACAAAAATCCCAAAACGGAAGAGGGAGAAATTTAATATGTACCCAAAATGGGTAAAAATAAATGAAAATATTGTCAAGATAATTTTGAAAACTTATGATTTGTATTTTAAAAGAGATTTTGGAGGATTCTATTTCTTCCAGACCGATTACTGGAATTAAATATCTTTAAAGTGGAGATAATTGTACAGTGTGATTGCTAATAAATAATATTTAACTCAGAGTAGACAGGAGCTGTTTTTCTGGAAATTCAAACGAATTAAATAAAGTTTTCGAAGCACATTCACATAGTTAGTAAACAGATATCGTTACTTTACAGCAACTTTGAGAACACAAACTGGTTGGAACTTCTTCTAAAACAATATGTATTGTTACTGTTTCATCGATTTTGCTTTTGCAGTCATTTTGATCATGCAAAATTCCTATAGCAAGTAAAATTCTAAACACAACTAATGCAAGAGATATTTATAATGCAAGAGAAGATTTTTAGGGGAGTAAAAAATGATTAAAATGTTGTTACGAGTTTGTTAATATGTAAATAATTTTAGTCAAATTATATGTAAAATTTTAGTATCTTTTGCATAAAGCAATATGAAATGCCTCAAGACACGAAGCTCTGCTGAAAAAATAAGATTACAGAATTAACATTGAGGTAAATGGCAATTTCGCTAAATTGGCGAGCTATCGCCAAGATGGGGATAATTTTGGTGATTAGGTTTTTCGCCAAAATTGGCGATAAAAAGCTAAAAGTCACCAAGCTTGACGACCACCTGGAGACAATAATCTCCCTGTATAACTGTAATTGATCTCTATACTGTAACCGCATCTACACTTTATATGTAACTTTAACCGTATATGCCTTCAGTAATTTCTAGAAATAGAAGGTACTAGGTATTTCTCAGCGGCTGAGGGTGGAAGGAACTATATAAACTCGGAGAGAGCGTCAGTTCTCAGCTTTTTAATTCGGAGTATTGAGATCTCCGTGCGAACTTTGCTGTTTAGATTCGCTTAGCAATGTATTGTGTTTAACATTCTTTATAGTTTGAAGTGATAACTACTGGTTATGCTCTGTTATTCCGAGAAGAGCGCTGTGCGGGTAGCTTTGTGGAAAGTTCCATCACTGTAAACGTTCCTTTAGGGAAAATAAACTTTATGAAGCTTTCATCCATTCTGTGTGCATTCAGTCCATTACGAACTCGTACTCAAGCAACAATATACTCCTAAAAAGTACGAACATGCATGTATTAGCATAAATTAAAACTGCCAACTTCAAAGGAAAGCTTCCGCCCCCCCCCCGGTCACACACAAAGTCAAGCGATTAATATTTTTTATTTTTAGAGAAATAGCTGTTAGTATTTTCAGGAAATATCAGATTTTTACAGTCAAATGATCAAGAGAACAAAGCTTCAGTATGAAAGTGAATAGCAGTGTATCAGCTTACAGGACAAATTTTCAAGGGAAGGGAGAACATTTGTCAAATTAGGGGAAATTTTAATCGTAAAAGGATAAATCTTTTCAGACATAGTGCTTGGAATTTTAAATAAGATTAATATTGTTCTACTCCTTCTTAAGGATTTATTTTAATCAACATATTATTTTATGAGTTGACCTATATTATCACTTCTATTTTCCATCACTTCTCACTAAGATGTAGAAGAAGAGTTAGTGTGTGTATGAAGTTCCTGAAAGTTAGAGAGAGCTTTGAGAGTTAGAGAGAGCAGTGACGCTGACCGTTGTGATATTTCCTCTCCCAGCTCTGAGAGTTGTTTGATTCGGTGTCAGCCTTTTTAGTAGATGAAGTTAGAGCTGATCCAACACTTGTTCAGCTTTTGAAGTTGTGAACCTCTAGCGTTAAATTACTTTTAATTTCAATTTTATTTTTCTCACATTTTATGTTTCTGAAATTCCCCAAGCTAACGGAAATTTATTTGTAAACACAAGGTATGCATTATTAAGTTTAACATAAAAAGCTTTGTGTAAGTCTTCTTCTGTTGTTACCTGCGTACACGGGAAGATAAGTTGCCTAATGGTCTCAATAGGGCCCAGGGTTCTAAGTTAATCAAAGGAATGCCTTGAACCCTAGAGGTTTACTTTACGCCGCTGGAATTTTTTTCCGGTTAAACTTATTTAAAAAAACGTGTCCAGTTTTACTTTCCCTCCCGAATTTAATATATTACTCCTCACATTTAGAAAGTAGCATCCGTTTTCTAACAAAAAAGAATGAAACAAACTAATTGAACAAAAGCTTCTTAGGTGAAAATAATTACTATAAAATTCCCTTCTAAACCAGAAAATTAGTGTTAAAATTAATATAAACTGAAATAATTTCATAATTATAATATAAAAGAGGGGGGAACCGATCATTCTCAGCGAGTGAGTGATGTGTGATTATGGCAAAGCCTCGAGGGCTATCTCGCCTAAGGGGAGGGATGCCTTCGTGGAGGACTTTCTGAGAGAAACTGGCTCGTTTACACGTTTCACATGTGGAAAACCACGAAAACGCCAATGCAGCCGGTCCGTTCCCGCGATTCGAAACTCGGACCGAACTACCAGTGTTCAGCGACTTTACCGCTCGGCCGCGAGAGGGCCCATTCTCAGCGAATTGAATTACACCAGCCTGGATATCCTAAAAACATTAACCGGAGCTAAGGTTTCAAAGCTTTTACACATTCAACACGTTTTTGCATATATAGATTCGTAGATGGATCTTTAAATTTTGACAGCAGCTTTTGCGATATAGCTGCCCTAAGTCCTTCTAACGGGGTAGGGCCATATGCTAACACCTAGAAAGCCAATAGTTTATTTATGATCACATATTCCAATTCGTTGGAAGTTTTAATGTATGTTATATGGCATAGCTTTGGTAGGCATGTGAAGCCGTTAAAAGTGAAAATCTAAATCAGCAGTTTACAAAAGCATAGAAATGGATTATCATGGTACTTATAACAGAGTCAGGGCCGTTCGTAGGCCATTGGCTGCCCGCGTACTTTCCTAAGATTGACGCCCCCAAATTAAAAAAAAATGTTTAATGACTAATACATTTTTTATTTCATACTCACTAAGTACTTACATATGACAAACTGTATAAAACGTACTTGCAATGAATTTAAAATATTTAGGCTTGGTATCGCGAGAGTCCGGCCGCCCCTGATTTTGGCCGCCCCCTTGGTTTTGCGAGCTACACCCCCGCTAGGAACGGCCCTGATAGTGGTATTAAAATTCACTGATATCACTGCCTTTATTCAAATTCATTCCTGCAATATTTGTTTTTCTGAATACAGTGTTAAGTAAGTGGTCAACCTTGTAGAAAACAACGAATGGACATCTACCGCATACATAATTTTCTTTTCACGATAAAATTCAGAAAATGGTCTGGGGCTTATTTCAAAATAAAAAGATAATAAATAGGATTAAAATATTCTTTTTGTACAACAGGACATTAGTAGATAGAAAATGGGGGTTCTGCGACAGGTGGATCAGTGGATCAGGGGGCGTGGTCAATGACATCACAGAGGGCGGGGCCAAAGGCAACGTCATTACACTAGGAGGCGTGGTTTCGAGTGGAGTTGAGTTGTTCGTAGACTACTGATTGAGTTGTAGACCTCCTGCTTTTCATTTAAAGTTAGTTTTTTTTTTTTTAAATTGACAACGGGAAATATTTTCTGCATCTTAATTTTGATGAAATGTCGATGCTGCCCTCTCTTTAGACGAAAAAGTGAATTATATGTTTTAGAAATATATTTTTTAAGTCTGGTGTTAAAATTATTCAATGCGCGACTCTGAAAACAATGTAAAGAAACAATATAAAAAAGACTTTCCTTTAATGATAGTTCATCATGTCATGAAAATGAAACTACAAGATAATTTGTTTTTGTTACTCAATTTATTCTGATACTTTTATCCTTTCTAGTTTTCCATGAAACTTTAACTTATTTCTTAGGTTTTCTGTTCATAATAACATATTCATTTACTGTCATATTTTTTTTAATACTTAACACGTTTCTAATTTGTAATATTTATTTATATTCCACATACTATTTTTTTCCCACCTTTCATAAATTTCAGCATACCCTGATTTTTAACTTATATGTTATATTTCACAAACGTTCCCGCACGTGCTGTTTATTTGTTACATTACTTAATTTTAGATGAAATTTCACACTTGTTTTAAC